GAAAGTCCGGGAACTGAGGCAATTCCTCCCAAGAATCTGCCTTTTCAACATGGAGGCGGAAACCGCGGATGAGGACATTGTCAAGGCCTTCCTCTACACCGATGCCCTCAGCCAGCTTACTGGAGTCAAGTCTGTCCGAGTGGCACACAGATCTCCGACCAGAAATGGCACCTGCACGGCCTTCATTGAGCTGGACTTGACTTCCTACAAGGCCATTGGAAGACGCGGCAGGATCATTGTGGACCAAGTGATCCTGAACTACATGGAGTCTGTACGCGTCTGCTACCGCTGCTGTGGCTACGGCCACAACGCTGATAGGTGCACCAAGGCTACGGTCTCCTGCTTCCACTGCGCTTCTGGTGACCACCAAGGCCGAAGCTGTCCAATTCTCGCCAAGCTGCGCACGGCCAAAAATGTGCCAACTGCTCAGCCAAGGGCCTCTCTGCCGACCACTAGGCAAGATCAATGTTTTGCCCAACTGCCAGAGCTAGAGCTGCAAAGTTCTAGTCCTCCCGCCTTCTTCCTGTCTCCTGACCTCCGCGGACCCAATCCGGCCTAACCTACCTCTTCCCTAACGGAGATCCTGTTCCTAGCCTCTCCAGCCTGGTCATAGTGGTTTTATATATTCCGCTTTACGCGGCCATTGAGGCTCAAAACTAATTTTATTTTTATTAGCAGCCCCGTAAATAAAGATATTTCCAGAATTGTGTTGTAGTTGAAATACAAAAAGTTTCATTTCTCTAAATACCTACAGGAGAGATATATAATTCTGAGATCCTTGTAGAGGAAGAGAAGCGGCATTATTCTATATTTAGTGGTTGTAGAGAATTTCCTAAATCTACCGGGTAGACAGCTTTTTTATGTAGAACAATCAAGGAGACAAGCATCGAGCTCTATTTGAAAGTAGATCCTGGAGGCTTTTGGGCTCTGCGCTGCCTGGAATATAGGAGCTCCATCTATGCCTTCTTCCTGTGGTGAAACTGTATAAGACCGGTGGTCTTAATACAGCTGAATCTGTGTGTATGTGAAGGTAGATATTTTATTTTGCGATTATTTGAAGAAAAGAGATAATACAGGTTTAGTAGATATTTCCGGGTATCTTACCAAAGTTTATTCTTTCTAAATAAATTTATTAAAATTAGACTTCTGAATCACATGTCAACTAATTTCAACAGTCCCTGTGGAACATTTTGTTCCTGGGTGTGAACTTCGAATGGAAAAGAGACAAATGATCCACTTGTGGGTTAATGAAATTCATAGGTGTTCTTTTTTTTACTTTAGGAATTAAATTTTTAGGGTATTCTAGGAAATGTTTATAGATATCTTGTTATTTATTAACCACTCGGCTGATAAGAGATTACAGAACATAAAATTTTGGATATTTTTATATTGAATGTCTTTATTATTAAAAGAAATCAAAAAAATATATATAGGAATTCACTTGTTCGATATTATTGTTTTGTCAAAGTGGGAATCGTAATTTTATTTTATTTTTTGCTCATCCCTAGTACACGTTGTACAGGCCATGATAATCATAGTGGGTAGAAGTAGGTGACTGCTTTTATTGTTAAGTTCACCACATGTCTACTCATGTGAAAATCAGTTCGGCTTTATACACTTACAAATGTGCCAGAGCCCCATTTGGTTACTTGCACTCGCTAGTGGGGTTGGACTTTTGCAAGAATTGGGGCCATTTGGAGCATTTTTTTTTAATAAGAAAAAGGTGCCAAATGCGGAAATCGAACCCGGATCGTAGTGATCGAAACCAAACGGTTTAGACCATTCTTCCACCGACCCAAGAATCGGAATATAAAATGGGGAAGTCCATTTTGGATGATGAACCTTTGTTGGAATTTCACCACAGAGTGTTATGTGTATTCCTGTAATCGCTATTGTTATGTAGAAAGACGAATGCCAGAATGGCAAGGAGATTTATTTCGATCCGAAAAATCTCGTCTTTGTCGCATAAGAGTGTAGAAAGGAACCGAGAGCATTATAATATGAATATCACTTTAGTAAAATTAATAATTATTATTGATATACAATAGAATTTCCCTGTAAAGGACACCTAATTGCTGAGACAAAGTGTCCTTACTGGAGATTCTCTAAATAGTAAAAATGGTAATTTTGCAAATGAAAACTGTCCTTTGTAGAGAGGTGTCCACTAGCGGGGGTGTCTGCTAAAGGGAGGGTCTACTGTACATAGCCATTTTCTTATACGAGCATGAACACAGTTTGTAAATCTTGAAGATAGAGGTTGCCTGGCCGGCATTCATATTTCTTTTTAAAAAAATAGACATTTTGGCAAGTTTTTTTTTTTCCTCGAGGTTTCAACATACATCTTTTGTCTTCGTCAAGAGAAATAAAAATCTTGTTACTTCTGAAATGGAACTTTAGTTTTCTGTCAGAATTCTCTCGACATTTGTAAAAGTTGGCTCTAAATAACTTTGCATCTTCTTTCTTGCGGCGTGAAGAGAATCTTTGTCGTCGTAGCATCGATAATTTTTTTTTTCTTCGTGAAGGTGAGCCTTGCTTTGAAACAACGACAGAATCTTGGGGACAGTAGCGGAAAAATGGAGTCCATAGCATCCATTGCCTCAAGGTCTGTTCCACGATTTTATGTTTCCATTTCTTATCCTTCCTAGAATTCCCATTAAATTGTCACGTAGGAAAATAAAAAACGAGAGAAGATAATTTTATCATGACTAGAAAAACTTAATTTGATTAAACACAATCAACTTCATTTGCAAAGAAAAAGGACCTTAAAGGCAACATGTGAAATATGTGTAATAAAAGAGCAGTAAAGTTAATAGAATAAATATTCTGCTATGCGCGAACCATACAATATAAAGATTAAAACCTAGTAAACAGTGTGAAAAAAAGTACGAAATTCATATTGCACTGGGATAAGGTTCATAAATTAAGAAAATAAAAAAAAGGCATATCCTTATCGAGCGCCTGCCCTTTTTTCTTTTCTTAGTAAGCAGTGATAAACATTTCACATTTTTATTTAGATTTCGGATCCTTCTTCATCACAAAACATTCAATAATTCTGAATAATAAGCATACTAGTGTTATCACTATGAGTTTTTTTTTTGCTTATCTCTAGTACCCGGGGTACAGGCCATGATAATCATGGTGGGTAGAAGTAGGCGACTGCTTTTACTGTAAGTGCACCACAGATGTGAAAAGCAGTTCGACTTTGCACTTACAAAAGTATCAGAGCCCCGTTTGGTTACTTGCACTCGTTGGTGGGGTGGACTTTTACAATAATCGGGGGCTATTGGAGCATTTAAAAAAAAAAAGAATAAAGTACCTAATGCGGGAATCGAACCCGGGTCGTAGCGGTCGAAAACCAACGGTTTAGACCATTCTTCCACTGAACCCCAGCACTATGAGTAAATAATACAACTATCTTTTATTTATTTTGTTAAAAATAATACAAACTCAATCTATCACACAGTACCATTAAGTTAATTGCTGAACCCGTCAATTGTGCAGAATAGTCATGGTCAAAAATCAACAATTTCAAATATTAGGAGATAATTGGAATCGTGTTTTTCATCATTTCATTTCTTTAAAAACCAACACACATCTACTTACCAGTTTAGCGTGCCTCATACAATCAAATGAATAGAAATGTTTTGAATAAACACAATTTACATTTTATAATGATGCTATTGCTCTCGCACGATATATTCTCTATTTATTAAACAAAAAAAAAAAGTTTAATCAAAGATAACATTTCCAAAGATAATTTCACAATTACTAAGCAAATACTCTCTCTATATATATATCGTAAAAGAAAAGAGGTAAACAACAGAGGGCAAACAAAGAAGAAACGTATTATTTGTTGGAAGGTATCAGAAAGGAAAAAGAATTGAATCCCCACGATTGATTCCAGCTTCAAGGCAAGAGGTAACAAGTGCCCCAGGAAAACAATTGTCGACGTTGGGAAATATTAAGCCGCTGTCACTAATGTCAAGTGCAGGAAGGCTGCGACCAATTTATAGGTGCATCGATTGGTCCTGGCTAGGTCCGCATGGATTACAATTAGTCCTCGGGATCCCCGGACTCTCATATTTAAATATTGAAAGTGTACGTGCCGCAACCGGCTTCTGGATTATTCATTGGATGCCATCGATTGGTGAAATATCGATTTCTATCTATGGTCCCCTGCTGCTGAGATTTTTATTTAGAATTGTGAGAACATCGATATAATCATTTCGTTACATTGATGTCTTTGGTGGATTTAGAACTTCGTCCGGGTCTTTTGTATTCTATAGTATAGGTGTAATCTTTAGTCACACATGGTAAAACAAATTGTAGTTTGCCGGAATAAGCTAAAGAGTGTTGCTATTTTACTTTAAACATTTTAAAGTATTTTTTTTATGTAACTATCTACATTTCGTGATGTCCTTAATAGTCATGTACGCTCATGATCGCTTTTTAATTTCATACAAAAGTGGCAGTTCAGAAAGGTGGTCGCTCAAAAAATGGATCGTTCATGGGAGGTTCTGCTCTACTCATTCCCGCCGCGCTCGAATACTTATATAAATAAATACTAGTATGAAATGCTTATGTTTGGTCCGTATACGTTTTCACCATATTTGACCTATCTGATACAAATTTGATATTATATAGAGATAGTAGAGGTCTGGAAGGAGTGTCATAATTTCGAGCTTTGAATATTCT